TATATATTATATATATTTATATATATATATATTTATATATATATATATTTATATATAGATATATTTATATATTATTTAATTTAATTTTTTTTATATATTATATATATTTATATATATATTTATATATATATAATATTCTATATATATATATATATTATAATATATAGTATTTTTATATATATATATATGTATATATTATAGATTTATATATATATATATTTATATTATATATATTTTATATATTTATATTATATATATATATATATTTATATATATATATATATTTATATATATTTATATATTTATATATTTATATATATTTATATATATATATATATTTTATATATATATATATTTATATATATATTTTATATTTATATATATTTATATATTTATATATATATTATATTTTTATATATATATTTAGTTATTCATATATATATATATATTTATATTATATATATATTTATATATATATATTTATTTATATATATTATATATTTATATATATATATATAATTTATATATATATATTTATATTATATATTTATATATATATAATTTATATATATATATATATTTATATATATATATATATTTATATTATATATATATTTATATATATATATATATTTATTTATATATATATTTATATAATATATTATATTTATATATATTTATTTAATATTTTTTTAGTATATATATATAGTATATATATATATATATATTTATATATTATATATATATTTATATATATATATATTTATATATATATATATTATATATATATATATTTATATATATATATATTTATATTATATATATATTATATATATATATATTTATATATATATATATTTATATATACTATATATATTTATATATATAATATTTATATATATTATTTATATATATATGTTTATATATATAATTTTATATATATATATTTATATATATATATTTATATATATATATTTATATAAAAAATAAAAAATATATATTTATATATATATATTTATATATATATATTTATATTATATATATTATATATATATATTTATATATATATATTTATATATATATATTTATATATAAAAAATTTATTAAAATTTTTTTATATATATATTTATATTATATATTTATATAAGATATTTTCATATATATATATTTATATATATATATTTATATATATATATTTATATAAATATATTTATATATATATATTTATATATATATATTTATATATATATATTTTATATATATATTTATATATATTATTTATATATCATATATATATTTTATATATATATATATTTATAGTATAATAATATATTTATAATATATATATATTTATATATATATTATTTATATATATATATATGATTTATATATATATATATATTTATATATATATAATTTATATATATATATATTTATATATATATATATTTAAATATATATATATTTATTTATATATATATTTATATATATATATATTTATATATATATATATTTATATATATATATATATTTAAATATATATATATTTATATATATATATATTTATATATATATATATTTATATATATATATACTTTATATATATATATATATTTATATATATATATTTATATATATATATTTAATATCATATATATTTATATATATATATTTATATATATATATATATATATATATATTCTATATATTTATTTATATATGTATACTTATTATATATATTTATAATATATATCTTATATATATATATTTATTATATAATTATATTTTATATATATATTTATATATATTATATTTATATATATATATTTATATATATATATTTATATATATATATTTATATTATATAATTTATATATATATATTTAATTATATATATTTATATATATATATCTTATATTATATATATATTATATATAGTTATATATAATATATATATTTTTATATATATATATATATTTATATATGTATATATACTTTATATATATATATATATATTTATATATTATCTATATATTTATTATAAGTTATATTTATTTATATATTTATATATAATATC